AAGGAACCGGTACGCTCGCTTGCGAAGGGCGGTCGGATGGAGCCATTGAGCGAAGACACCTCGGCTATATCGGAAAGACCTCCTGGAACGAAGCCGAACTCGTGGAGGCGCGATTGGCGTTTCGGTTGTAGTACACTGTCGTCGCTGGCCTTGCCAATCTTGGAGTCTGGGTCGTCCTGCTCTCTCAACATGCTGAAGCGGGTAGATAGGCCAGGCATGATTAAACTTGTCCGGAAGTCATCTGCTTTGGGCAATGCGAAGTTGAGATCGAACTCTGGTTTGGGCTCTTCCTGGCCCTTCTTGCCCTTCTTCGTCTTCTTTGGGGCGGCGGGAGCATCCTCGGCGCCATCCTTCTTCCTGTTCAACCAGCGGTTCATGATGGTCTGGCAGTTATTAGCAAACGTATAAGTACGCCGCATTGCATCCGGAGTGGGCGAGAGGCAATGGGAGGGCGCCTTGGCAATGGGGATGGGGAGGAGTGTAGTCTTACAGGCAAAAGTGATTAGACTGGATTATAGCGACGACTGTGCGCTGACCAATCTCGACTGGAGTGTCGCTGGGGTGAGCGGGAAGGCGCACTCGAGCGAGGAGTGGGGAAAGTGAGAGCAAGGCGACTCGGGCTGGGAGGAAAGAGCAATCGCGAACATGTAGCGGGGCCAAAAACAACAATGAGGCGGCCACGGGCGGTCTTTTTCGAAAGTGTGTCCTAGGCACAGTGGAAAGTAATGTCGGCAAGAGGCGAAGGAGGGAGCGAGCTGGAGGTGAAAAGGAAGGCGTGCAGCGATTGCAGGCGGGATCGGGCGCACTCGACTCTGGATGGCTCGGTTGGCGGCAAAAAGTACAAAACAATAGATTATGGCAAAGGTTAAGGAGCGTGAGTAGCTGGCAGCAAACAGGTGAAGGAGTGAATGCACGCGCGCTGTGGAGTGCTGGCGTGGTGGTAGAAAAGAATGCAGAGAGCAGATCTCCCGACCGAAAAGAGGCTTCGAGGAGCGGGTCGACGTGGGTATGCACTCTTTGGGCCTCTGGGGGAGTGACAAGCACTCGCACATGGGACAAGGATCAATTTCCACTAGCCTCATTTCCGCGTCGCGCATGGGCGTCGCGGTGCAGGGAGCAGAGAAGCCATAGAGCGCGGGCCAATATCCGCTCGATAGGCTGACTGAGGTCGGACGGCCAGTTCCAGTATTGCGCCGCTGAGCCCAAACCCGCGCCGTCCCAGGGGATGCGGGCGACAGGCAGCGCGACAGAGGAGTGAGTCGACGATGCATCGACGCGATCCAACGGCATTTGCTAGCGCCCTGCTGCCTCGCCGCTTCCTCGCAGCTCGTCAGACATGCTCCTTCCGCGTCACACGTCGCTCCTGCCTCGTCACTCGCGTCGCAGAGTCATGCCTTCCTTTTCCAATAACAAACTTTGCCTCCCCCCACAGTCTGAAAACAACGACGCACGACCTCATGATAGCCCTTGGCCCGCCCTTTGCAGCTGCCGCAACGACAAAAAGTATCATGAACACTGCGAGGGACATCGCGCTCCGCTAGCACCCCGCCCAATCAGCGCCCTGCCCTGAGCGGTACCTTGCAGGCGTCGGGAGGGGCTGGTCCATCCCTGCATCCTCGATATCACCGCGCCCGCGACTTGCTTTTCTCGTCGCGCCACGACGCATCGTCAGCTTTGCCTCTCCGCCCGTCAGCGCTGCAGCGTCGACACGACACGCTGCCCAATCACTTACCTCACACATGGGTAGCCAAAGTATGCGGGGAGACGATCCAGAAGTACCAAACGCCCATCGCGTACCTGAAGCCGCTAACCTCGGGACGTACAATGAAGCGAGCGAATCACCCAGCTCCCTAGTCATGGTCCCGGTGGCCTTTCGCTGTGTTCCCCTGGCCTAACCGCCTGGCGCTGTCATACCTCCCCTTTCCATGTACTACGGTAAGCGCAAAACTATGCTCCAATGCTCCAACGCTCCAAGACGTCTTCTTGGTCGACTCTCGAGAAGCAGGATTCAATTGGTCTCGTGTTTTCGCGATACTGGGCCCGGCCAGACTCGCATCCGGAGACCTGGTCCAACTGTCGTGTCATCTCCCGCGTGGCCGTCTGTCTACCGTCAGGCCGCCCCTGGCAGCGGATCCGAACGGCCATCCTTCCCCTTCTGTTCGGAACGTTGGACACTCATCGGCAGACTAATTGCCGGCAGAGTGAAGTCCTCGCTGTCGGCGAATAAGCCCAGCTGGCTGTGCTTCAATTCAGTCCTTGCTGAGCTTACTGCAGATAACCTGCATCTTCATTCTGCATACGCAACCGCCACAGTCAGTCCGAGAGCTTCTGCATACTAAGTTCTCAGCAAGTTTCAACCTGGATTCCGAAATGAATAGCCCGGGCTGGGCCTAATCGATTGCATCGGTGCCACGAGGTAAGCAAATTGCCCCTCACCCGCCGCCTGCCGTTGTACGCTGAGGATGATCATCTCCAGCCCGTCCGCGAAATTGCTGTAGGATCGACGCCACTCCAGCCCTGTGAGACAACAGTATCCTATTCGCTAACACTGTCCCGTCACACGCGACAGGGTCGCGCCCACGATATTTATCCTCTTCAGCGCCTTGTCAACAAATATCCACGCGCTGGTACTTCTGTCCACCTCTTGAACAGGTTTCAGATCTAGCCCAGGCACCGCCTTGCTAACCGACCCCACGATTGTTTCATGCTTCCGTACACACGTCCGTCGAACGCCTCACTGCGGTCCGAGCAGCCATACACTCTTTTGCAAGCTCCACTAACCAAGCATCATCGCTGCAAACCGCCATTGCCGTTATTGTGACAGCGGGTCAGGTTTATCAGGCTGTGGCCTGTCGAATGTAACGACAAACTCCAAAACTTCACCCTTCCGCATTTCCCTGAAAACTCGACCCTTGATGAGTTTCCATATATACATAGAGTTCGTGTGAGGGGTAAGCAGTATGTTCAGTCATCCGGACCTCCAGACTTGCAAGGAGCGCTGCAACTTTCGTTGACGACGTCGACGTCACCGTCATCTTACGTATCCTCCAGTTACGAAAAACCCTTTGTTGCCAAGAAGACGCGCGAAATTGACAATGCAAATTCTGCTCTGGTTCCAAAGCTCCGGCAGCATCTCGCGATCGATCCGTAGATAAATCGAAACTTCGAAAGTAAATCCTTGTCACGGAGACCGAGATGACAAAGCTGTCTAATTTCCGCCGATCATCCGGACAACACCTTTCGCTAACACCCTTCGCTGAGCAGGGTCTTTCTGTGTCAGTGCGGAGACCTTGATTGATCACAATCTAAGTAACGCGCTCTTGCGTGTGATAGTCACAGGGCGTGACCGATGAAAACCCGATGCCCGGAGTCCGACGAGAGGGTTATTGGTTATCCGGATCACAGCAGTCTCATCTATCGTCCCTGTGCGGTTGAGAACTTCAAGAGAGGACGATTTTCAAGCTACGTGTATACGGTCCCGACTTCCGCTCTTTGAGCTTGCACACCAACTTCTGCTTCAATTCGCAAATTTCATACAATCACAATGCTGACCTCTCGTACGGATTTACCAAGTTGCTTCACTCGCGGTGACCTGGGATACGGACTGTCCGCGATGTATGAGTATCCCATGTTCAGTCACCCCTGTAGCCATCGCTGCCTATCACGTCTAACGAGGAAGCGCTGCCTCACTGCATTCTCAAAACCTCGAAGTCAATCCCAAAAATCGCGGCTAGCTTGTGCCGACAGCTTCCATTTTATGTCCAACTCGAACCTGACGAGCAAGGATTGTTATGATGTCCTGATTTTTGACGCTTTGTATAGTTCACATACGGGTATAACAAGCACCCAATAGAATGAAGAAGCCGAACACTCTGCAGTCTACATTGGTAACAAGACCAAAGTTGGCAAGCTCTTAACGCAATGTAGACATCTGGATTACTATTTCTATCCTTCGCTAGAAGTGGGTGTTCAGTCGTTTTGCTGAGATGGGGTCTGAGAAACAACGGGTATCCACAGTCGTCCCTTTCTCATCGGCTGATGCGGAATTACGTCACTACACACTCTCACTCACACCTTCACTCACACGTTACCAGTTTCTCGCTTGCTGCGACTTATTCACTGGCGGAGTCTTAGAGCGCCCGCCTTCCTAGAGAAATTACCCTTGTGTTACTCACTAATGCTCCTTCCTCTTCCTAACTTTACCTTTACACGTCACCCATTCTGCACCTACTCAGATGTTGTTCGGTCCTCTCATGCAACTCGCAGCGCTTGCGACTGCAGCTGTGATCAAGCATAAACCGGATTCCGACTATGTCTTCACCTGCGATACTCCCATCCCCCCTCTCCCCAACGGGACCATGGTCACGAGCTGGGAGCAGTATCTCGACGAAACTGGTGACGATCTCGACTCCGGCGGCCAGGGTGCTGTTGATCACTTTGGTGGCCCTGCCGGTAAAGCTCCGACGAAATGGCCTCGTAACTCAGAGAATTTGGCCAAGATCCCTTACTGCTATTATAACGAGCATGATCGCGATGCGACCCACGAGGTCATCGAGGCCGCTATCAAGTCGTGGATGAGGTGCGTGTACATCAAGTACGACCATCAATTAATCATTGACAATGAACTCTTAGTTACCTTGGTCCTCCAGGAAAGGAATCTGGTCACGCAATTAGTTTCGAAGAGCTCTTGGATAAGGGAGAGCCAGTATACTGTTACGAGCCGCATCCGAACGACCCAGAACCCGACTTCCCTTGGTTTTATAACAAACATCTCACTAACGAGATCGTAACGATCATCGTGAACAAGGGAGCGACCGGTTGGGGAGCTGGTGTAGGTCTAAGGGCTGACCAGTCGTTTCCCTGGGGAAACATGCTCTACGTCCCGGATACTGGTGATCTTGTGAACGTGGAGTGGGCGGCTATGCACGAGCTTGGTCATGTCATGGGTGAGTAGTCATGTACGATTAGGCCACTGACGAAGGTGCTAACGAAAGCCAGGTATGGCGCATGAACACCAGCGTGCTGATAGAGACAACTATATCGTTGTCAAGCCCGAGTTGTTGGACGATTTCGAACAGGTCAGTATAAACCGCCAGAACATAACCAACCATTTCTGACTCGGAATAGTGTTACGAGCGCGCCCACGCAAAGAACTCTCGAGTTACCAAAGAAAACGTATGCGCCTCCCTGCGATATTCACTTCGGAACCAGTGTATGTGCAGAGAGATCATCAAAGGCATGGCCGAATTCTATCTCCCACTCTTTGCCTTCGACAAATACGACATCGATAGCATCATGCATTATCCAAGCGCTCTTGGTGGTACACAGAAGTGCCAACTGTACAGCGGTGAGGAGGACACTGCTGATTGTCCTATTCAAGTTTACAGGAACTTTGAGGACCATAGCCAAGGGACTACGAAGATTACGCCGAACTTGCATCCGTCTGCGCAGGATATAGCGTGGGTTAAGAAGGTGTATGCTTGGGATGAGATGGGTGGAACGCCAGATGCGACAAAGTCATCCACTGCCGTCGCAACGTCATCGACCGCTGTATAAAGCTTCGAGCTATTACGTGGGGGCGGCGATGGAAGATTGCTGGACAGACTGAGAGACCGAGGTAATTAAGATGCTTCCTAAAACACGTTCGATGTTCAATCATGCCTGTATATTGTCAAAGCCAAAGTTTGACGATCTCAACTTTTGGATGATGCAATGAACCTTAGTGGGGGTGGCACGGCAGGTACCTAGGCAGCTCCGTCATGGCAGTCACTCTTTGCACGCTTCCCCATCCCATCTCAATGTGCTCATCACTTGATGCACGCGCGTTGATAACAAGTACAAATCCATTGATAATTTGAGTATCGACACAAATGTGAGTTCTCGTGGACTTCAGGTACACAGCCTCGTTTTGATGTGCTGTGCGACACAATCTCTCTTATTGGCTATCGGTGGCGCTCGCAGGGTCTCACTGCCTCAGTCACTGCATGATGGCTAGGATCTTCCGAAGGCTGAGCAGGAAGACAGGGCTAGCACGTCATGTACATAAAACGTGATGCCCAGCAGCGCTCACTCACTCTACTATCCGTCAGGATGGATAAACTCTTGAAATCATACCAAGGCTTTTTGCGCTACCCTGCGAACGTTTTGGAGACCGACTTAGGCGCTGATATTCTGCAAGCGCATAACACCAGGTTGAATCACCAAAAGGACCGCCTATTCGTGAATGAGTCACAAGCTACAGTAAGCTACCTTGATCGCACTGACGGTATCCAAGGTATGTATTCTTTGCTCTTGAATTTGATCGTCGCACCGCTACTAAAACTCTAAAGCCTCGACTCTAAAAACCTGGAACAGTCTCAACGATGTTAAGCTTCAACTGGGAGAGGCTTCCCAAATCGAGCAAAAGAGGTTTTGTTGCCGGTTTCTGTAAGCTGAGTCAATCTGCGAGCATGTTTGATTCTCACTGTTTTTCAGATTTCTACATGCTGAACTCGACGGGGCTCCTCTAAAGATAACCTTGGAAATGCTCATGTTATTGTTCACTTATCACCAAGTCCTACCGTCGTTCCTGGATTTCATATTTGCGTTCGGACGTCAAACCCACCCTCAAGTTTTCCTGTTCAGCGATTTCAGACGACTTGATCGTAAACCCCTGTTTTGGGCAGGGACACTCACGGAGCGACCTTCTGGCGCAGCTGGGTATGAAGAAATTCGTCTTTACAATCTGAGGTCCGTCGAGAGACTATCAGGGGGCAGTGCTACACCTCTACCTTGGGCTGTCCGCCAGACTGCAATATATCAAACTTACGACCCTGAAACCGGTAACGCGTTGTGGGTTGTAGTGAAGGGTAACAGAGTTCTAGAACGCCGTATCAGCCAAGCTTGTGCTCAAAGATCAAGATATCACCCTGAGAGACATGTCGATATGGTGGTTATTGCCCTCTTGGTACATTCCCTGATTGCAGAATGGTCGAGGGAAGATTGGGGTTGGTATCTCGATGACTTGGAGGATCGATCGCAGAAGCTGACACGGAAGGTACTTTTCGCCCGACTCAGCGACGCACCCCAAGACAGCCCCTCTCATCTTTCGACCCAAGAACCCATGTTCGCAGGAAATGACACGTTGGCCAACAGCCGTCTCGAAACGCTATCAAACTTTGCATCTGGCGATGTTGTGCACAATAACGCGTCCAAAGCCGAGGGCTCCGCCCACCCACTATTGGCGGTATCTACATGGTTACACGAAAAGGTCGGCCTTCACAACGACTCGAAGAAATCCCCAATTCACAAAAACCAAGCTTCTGTTTCAATGAATGACTTGGACCAGGGTATCTCGACAAAGGAGCAGCACTACAACGCGGAGGACACTCAAAGACCTGAAGATTTCTGTCAATCACAAATCACATTTGATGATCTCCAGCAGATCCAACTTTTACAAGAGAAAGTAGAAGAAGCACTACTCATTGGACAGTTAAACGTCCAAGTCCTACAACGTCTCTCACCCTCCGAAATTGGGTCTCGATTCTATAATGATAATGACCGCGAATATCCTGGTATGCAGGCTGAACTACAACGGTTTTCCACATGCATCAGGAGAACGATAAACGAGTTTGAAGCCTCACGCCCTCAACTCGAGTCCATGCTGAAGCTACTGGCGAACAGAAAGGATCTTGTAAGTAGTCACCCCATCGCATGTAAACGGCTCAAGACAGAGCTTCAGTCACTGGGTGACGTTTGTACACCTTCCTCCGCGCTAACACCACACCAGCTCAAAGACACCCTCCAATACCGCAGCGTCAAAGCCAACGAAGAAACAGCAAACAAGACGAGACAAGAGGCTACGTCCATGAAGATCATCACATCAGTGACTCTGTTCTTCCTTCCAGCGACTTTCATCGCAGTAAGCTCATCCTCCACATACACTTTCATCCCCAGCTAACTCCCACCCAGACATTCATGAGCACCAACATCGTCTCCTACGAAAACGGCAACAGTAACATCGAGACGGGCGGATTGAAGACCTACCTCGCTATCACGTTGCCCTTGACGGCACTCACGTTCCTGGCTTGGTACGTCATCTATAGGTACGCTAGGGAAACGGGCTTCTCGCGCAGCCGAGGTAGGCATGAGGGTGAGAATGGTCAGCAGTTTGTGTGAGCTCAGTGTATGGCGGAATGTTGTGTGGTGATCATGGGGGTGGAACATCACCACAGAGAAATAGTAGTAATGATGGAACGACTTCATATTGTACATTCATACATACATCACGCACGACCAGCCCTATGCCAGCAATGCTCTTTCTCCCGTATCGTCACCATCGTCATCGTCACCCATTCACCTCAGTTATTCCTCTTACTCTTCTCCTTCCCCTTCTTCGCCTTCTTCCCTTTCCCCCCCTTCCCCTCCCCATCATCCTCACTCGCCCTCTTCCCATTCCCCTTTCCATTCGCAGCCGGCTCCAACGCAGCATCCGCATCCTCATCCTTGACGAGCAACTCATTGAGCGCATCATTAAAGTTCTCCATCTCGCATATCTCGCCAATCTTGACGCGCATGTAGTCGAATGCAATAGCGACCTTCATATCCTTGTTGCGCACCTTGATGACGCGGGCGTTTTCCTGGAGCGAGGACGAAGTTTCCTTAGGGAGGGAGGGTATGGGTTTTGCTGGGCCCGGGGCAGGGGCTGTAGAAGAGGGGATGCTGGGGTGCATGTCCATGTTGTCTGCGTTTTCGGTTGTGGGGTCGACTTCGGCGTCGTCGTCTTCCATGGGCACGTCTTCGGCGACTTCTTGGGGGTTGAGAAGTGGGTCTGCTTCCTCGCCATCCGTGACGGTTTGCAGGACGGGGATTTTCTGGTAGCGCTGGCTGAAATGCGTGAGGACTACTGATTTCGCGTTCATCGCCGCGCCGATACCGAGTGCTTCGGAAGTGGTGGAGTGTTTCTTGGCCTTTGCGTCGCCTTGTAGCTCGTCATCGAAAGTCGCTTCGTGGATGAGGACTGTGGTGTCTACTCCGATCTTGGCGAAGTGGCCGCTTGGTCTGCAATCGCCTGAGTAGCTGACCTTGAGTGGCTTGATTTGTTCAAGGTCTGCTGGGTCACGTGGGAATGTGATCGAAACAGCCATGGCACCGTGGCAATGCGCAACTCTGGAAGCTTGTATTTCGTTGAAGCCAAATAGTTTCTCATACTGTTCTTTCGGTATGGCTGCATTCTCAGATAGTGTCTTTCCGAACGAGTTCAGTATAGACAACCTTGAGCCATTCTTGTATTCGTTGGGAGTGATCTGAAGAGGAAGAATTCGACTGTAGCCAAAGTCCTCGATGGCTGAGTATTCGTTAAGCCATTGGAGCATACCGCTGTGAGATATGACGGCAAGACCGTATGCGCTAGGGTCTATGTTGCTCGCGGAAGGGTCCAGGGGCTGGGAGTTTGGAACAGCATTGTGTGCTACTTGATACCAAGCACGAATCACTGCTGCTGTGCCTAGGTGGTGATCGGCATGCAAGTGACTGATCCAGATCATACGCAGATTCTTGAAGATATCGACAAGCTCTTCGTGGGGAAAGACCCTTGAAAGCTGACCCAACGTGTTCTCTCCGCAATCCAAGAGGTAGTTGCCGATGCCAGGAACACGCACCAATGTGGAAGATACATTACGGTACTTGGACGGTAGGGCAGAACCTGTTCCGAGTGTCGTTACCTCAGTGTCACGACGCGCTAGTAGCTTACCCCATATCTGCATCTCTCTGCTTTTGCTTTTGACCTCGGCTTGAGCTTTCTGAGCCAACTCGAGAACCTCAGGTGGGGTTGTAAGCTCCACCTCATTGGGCACGAAGTGACTAGATATGGTGTTTTTCTTTGTGGCAAACTGTGGCATGAGATTAAAGCCAAAACCTCGGTCAGCGCGGATGGCTCCGGAGGGCAACGACGACGCTGTCGACATGCCAGTCCTGTATATACTTGTCTGCGGTACAGTAGTGTTGTCGAAAACGGGTGTGCGATATCTTGAAGGATCAATCTGCCCAAGTCGCGTAGCTTGTCCTGCTACCGAGTCGTTTGCGATGCGATTCGGCGCAGTATCTAGAGACGATATTACGTGTTCTACGTTGTCCATCTTGTTCATGAAATTGAGTAGATCCGGGTGACCTACGACGCCGGGACCAAGCATCCAAACGATAGCTCGAATGTCAGTCATAACCTCTGGAGAGCTAAGCTCTTCTCGTTGAAGAGTGCTCTCAATGTATGCAACTGAGGGGATGTCCAAGATGGCGATGCCCTGACCGGGCCTATCAGCGCCCATGACCTGATCTGGGGTAATCATCTCGCCCTCCGCGTTCGGTACCGATATGCCATTGGTGAGCTTTCCGAAATCCGGTCCTGGTTTGACACCTAGCGCTTTCGCGCGTGCGACGTCGAACTGACCACGAGCTGAATGCGATCGCACGATGTAGGAAACACACTCTGGTGCTGGCCTAGTCGGTGGTAGCGCTAGAATCATAGCGCCAGGCCACGGCGTCCGGGTCCAGACTTTAATGTCAGGAAGAGGCTCTTTGCCCCCTGGCTTTGGACCTTGGTAGGTCGAGAAGCCGTGTGTATCGGGGTTACGAACGAACATGGCAGCAGGCATTTGTACCTCAGAAATATGGCGTTCTGCCAGTGTATCCATCTTCCAATTCGAATCGAACATGAACTTGATGGTCGCTGTCCGTATCCGGTCGTACCTCAACTCGCGGTCTTCCGGGCTCTCATTTTCGGGAGCCTGGAGTCCGTCAAACGTATTCTCGTGTTCATCGAAGTTCCGTCGCCGCGTCTCCAAATCAGCCTCCGCTTGCGCATCGACTTCAGAGTTGACAGGCGCTACTGAGAGAGCCCAAACTTTGATGTTCTCGTCCTCCCACGTCGGAACTATAGCACCATTGCCGTCCTTCTCGGGTGACTGTTTCACGTACTCGGTCGCATTGATGGGTATGCCCTTTCTGAATATGAACCTCCGACACGTTGCTAGTGTATGTTTCAGATTCGGGGGTCCGTATATGTCGAAGTGCGGCTTCGCGGGTGCTTCGCCTTTCTTTCCCCGCTCTTGAGCCAGACGAAAGGTATCCATGGCGGTGGTGTAAGAGCTGGTGGTCGAGTCGGCCAATGTGAGCATCATGCCAATCAATCCACCCATGTTCTTCCACTCTGTCCTGCCTGTCATGAAGAAATCTTGCGCCTTCAGCAGACGTGTGCCCTGCTGCACCATCGCCCGCTGGGTGCCCTCTGCCAGGTTGCCGAAAACATAGTGCTTGCTTGCCGTCCGCAGCACGAGCGTTGTTCCCGGCGTATCGGCCGTAGGCGTTGTGACGACCTCAACGCTGCACGACATGTCTTTTGTTCTCAAGAACTCGGTTCTATTGAACTCCGCAGGAGGCTTTGTATGTTTGTTCTTGGGCTCGAGGAGTTCAGGGTTCGGCGGTTGCGTAAGGTAGCATGAGGCTGATGCGATTGGAGCTTTGGGGGGTTGATATATCAGACGTGTGAGTACCTTCGCTTCTGCTAGGTGATTCGCCTTGCCGCTTTTCGTGTGTTTAGATGCAACTGGTTGAGGATCGAGGGGTAAGCGGTAGATCTTCGAATACGTTCGAATGGAGGGGCGAAACCGAGGAGTAGCTCTGGAGCGGAGAGTAAAGGCAGCGAAATTCGTATGGGCTATGGGCCGACCGTATCGTGGGCGCAATGCGAAGAATGGGACATTAGTCGTAATGGTCGTAGCTCGCTCCGTGGCGCTAATTATGGAAGCCAACTTGACGAAGGGAAGGAATGACACGAGAAGCAACTATGTACAGCCCTGGAAGCATCAGGGTGAGAGAGCGCATGCAACGAGTCGAAATGATGCGCGTCACTTTTCGCGATGCGTCAACGATCAAGGCTAGATTTAGGCGAAGTAGAGGCCCGTGCGAACTAAACCCGAGCGGACTTGTTCCGCAACACACCAACTTTCTGTCCATCACTCCATCTTGATCAAGACGCTGTTTTCACCGGGTATCATTATTCGTCTGAACTATACTACTTTTTGTTCCTCATGTGGAATCATCGTACGCCCCAAACACTCATCGTTTGACCCATTCTAGGCATTCTTCTTCCGGAGCGCTCCACCATCAACAGTAATGTCCTGACCGGTCACGAAGCCTGCCTCGATGAGGTACAACGCAGCATCAGCGATATCCTTCGGCCTTCCAGCCCTGTTGGTCGGGTGGTCAGAGACGTCCTTCTCACTAATCTGGCCTGCCCAGTCAGCCCCGTTCTCATCGCCTTCCTTGCTCTCGTGTGCGACCTTGATGCGTCCGGGGGCGATAAGGTTGACTCGAATGCCCAGGCTACCCAGGCTGATTGCCATGGAGTGCATCAAACCAAGCTGACCTGATTTACTTGAAGCATAGCCTTCCTGGTTCGGGTCAGACTGATGTGCACGGAAGGAGCCGATGTGGATGATGCATGGGCCTGCAGGACTGGAGTTGTTGGCGTTCTGGATGTGTGCGCCGTGTTCAACATCAGATGCTCGGGCTTTCATGTAGGGGATACAAGCTTGTGACATGGCGAAGGGACCAGTGAGGTTGGTGTCGATGTACGCTTTCCACTCATCAATGGTCGAGAGGTCCTCCATGGTCTTGCCATCCTTCCACTGCGGAGACGCGATTCCGCCATTGTTGATCAACACATCAATGCGGTCGTTGAAGAACTTGGCCGCCTCTTTGACTTTGGCACGGATGTCTTCGACGTCGCGAAGGTCGCAGATCGCCGAACCAAGCCTACCATCGGCGTAGTACTGCTTGAGGTGGACTTTGGTGGTGTGTTCGAGCTCGTCTTCATCGATGTCGAAGATGTAGGCGTGGTGGCCAGCTTCGAGCATCATCCGAGTCAATGCTCGACCGATGCCTCGTGCACCGCCTGAAATGATGATGTTCTTGTATAGCGCGGGTGCTGGTGCTTGGCCTGCCATCTTGAGGGTCTTGAAATGTGGAGTTGGTATTGTTTGGTATGGAGACGTTTTCGCGGGGTGTGAACTTCGCGTAGCTGTTGTTTGTTTAAGTACGTTGCTCTGACGTCACGTCTCAACACATCGTTTATCGCCACGACGTGTGCTGCACAAGATCTTGAAATCGTAAAATTCTACGAGGATCTCATTTTTGCGGGTCTTTCACTTATCAAAAGTTCTAGGCCAAAATCTTGCATGGTGTTGTGTTGTACAGTTTGTCAAGGGAAGACGATTTACCTTCCAAATGTAGTACGACTCGAGTACAACTTAATCATAAACCAGACCTTCTAAATACGATGATCCAAAGCAGTTCGCAGGACAAGTGATATGATGTTACCAGTGCTCGATATTATCACGTTCTCGTGAAATCTGGGGCCACCTTGGCTAGTCATAAATCGAGTGGAGAGAAGCCAGTATCTTGAGCGTACGGCCACCTCATACAAGTAAGAACCGGAGCAGATATGCGGACTGCACTATGATAGGCCAAATTATATAGAAGGTAGACAAAGATCCGGCGTGAACGTAGACTCTAGGGTGTTCAGTGTTTTTCGTGTATGAGACGCGGCATGATGCATGAAGCAGAGCCGCCTCCATGATAACATGTCCAGTGCAACCGCCCCTTCCCGGTCTGTCAACAAAGTCGGAGAGGTGGAAGTGAGTGATGAGAGGGTAGCCACTGCCTCGTTTCAACGACACTGCCTGGTAACGAGCCCACGTGGCAGAAGGTCGCTACCATCTCATCTGAACCAGAACTCAGCAAGGCACTCATCCATAATTAATTTCTCGCTCATACACATCTCACCAACTCTACACAAAACATACCCACGAATACGTCTGCAATATGGTTCACGCCTCTACAGTCGCCGACCCCCAGTGCGTCCACGCCATGGTCGCTGAAGACATTCTCAAGTTTGTTGCTGGCCTCGCTGTCTACGCCTTGCTCGCGTTTGATGTCTTTTTCAACATGACCAGCGAGAACAAGTACCCAGCAGTGTTGGCGTGGCTAGTCCTCATTCCGGTATGTACATCTGAAGATCGGGTTCTGTAGCAACAATCGGTTCTAATACTTTTTTTTCAGGTCTGTCTATTTGTCCTCATATTCACTGTCATCGACCACGTAAACGCGATCTCCAAGAAGTACAAACTCAGCAATGCCATCGTCACCGGGCTCCAATACATGCTCGGTTCCATCCACCTACTGGTATTTACATCGATGTGTGCGGCGCTTCGGTTTGCAATCCCGAAAGGCTACCTACTGGTCTGGTCTTCCTTCTTTGTGCTACCGGTAAGTCCTGTTGGTAGAACGTGTGTTACCATTCTGACTCTTTGTAGGTCTGTGGCTTCCTCTTTGCCGCCGCCATCGACGCTGCGTTCGGAAACTGATAGGTGGAATATGGCTGGCCGTGTATTCATATCAGAGAGGGGCGGCTTCAGTCGGATATGCGCAAACTTTTGAAAGATGGCGAGGTGGGGAAAGTAAAGCAAGGATTGACAAACATTTGATGGAGAGAATCATGTCACCGTAGTACACCTCTGAGTGAACGTAAAAATCGCATCCATAGATCTTTTATCAAAACACGACAACCAAATCCCTCCTGACGCCAGTGAACACCGAGTTCCGTCAAAGTACAGGTATATGACCACATGCATGCAATCGTTTGAAATCAGAAAAGCGCCGTCAGCCTCTTGCAGCTCGATATTCCGTCTATTGCGAACGCTGGTATACACCAACAACCATGGCGTGGTCACGCTCGAAGGGCTCAAGAGTGAGCTGCTCCTTGGGCTTGATGCCCATCTCTCGTAGCTTGTTGACTTCCTGTGCGAAGACGGCCTCGGGGGCAGCGGTAGAGTCGATACAGTTGGCCTTGATGGAGATGACGATACCACCTCCGACCTTGAGGAAGAGTCCGGCGTTGAGACCGACGATACGGGCTTGATCGGGCTGGGCAACGTCGGCGAAAATGCAGTCGACCATGCCGACGAGCATGCGGTACTTGAGAGGGTGACGGGCTGCGAATCGTTAGCGAATGTCAGGAAGATGGAACGCGAAATACATACCATCCTCAACGATGGGGATGACGTTGGTGCGGTGGGTAGCCATGTTGATCAGATCACGGCCGGAGCGGTGCGAGAACTCAACAGCGAAGACGGTTCCCTCAGGTCCGACGATATCAGCAACGTGGGAAACTGATGTTCCGGAAGCAGCACCGAGGTACAGGACCTTGGAGCCGGGACCCATGTAGATGTTGTCGACACCACCCAAGATACCAGCGGCCAACTTGGAGCGGAAGGGGTTCCAGACACGGTACTCTGTGCTGGAAGGGGCTTCGGTCTCGCCGTCCTTGGGCGCGGTGCTGGCACCAACGCTGATGCGCTTCTCTCCGTAGACGGACTCGCCGGGGGTCAAGTTCTTGGTAACGAGGAGATCCTCCTTTCCGCGAGCGACGAAGACACCGGCGTGACGATGGCTATAGAAATGGTTAGCAGCTGTCTTCCCGCTTTATAACTGACTGGACTTACGGCTCAACAATGACCTTGGCTCCTCCGCGCGCTCCTCCACGGGCACCTCCTCGGGGCGCACCACGGCCTCTTGGAGCTCCGCGACCACGAGGAGCACCACCACGGCCGCCACGGTCACCGCCGCCGCGGCCTCCGCCGAAGCCACCACGTCCACCCCTGGGGGTGAAGCCACCGCGACCACCACGGTCACCACCAAATCCACCACGTCCGCCGCCGCCACGACCGCCTCTGTGAGAAGTTAGAACTGCGCTGCAGATAAATGTTCGTATGTGGGTGCGGAGAAGCTCGTAGTTCCCAAATCATTCTGAAGACAGCTCAGAAAGAACGAGCTTCTCCGTAGCGTGAAGCGCGCATGCTGAGCGAGCAGACGTCGAGATATGTAGTATCTGCAATCACATCTTGCTCAACATGCCGCGGTTCGCGCATTGTTCATATTGCGATGGGATTTCGAGGCTTGCGGAAGTCGTACCTGGGAGTGAAAGCCATTGCTGAAAGTTGTCGGGATAGTTCGAGTAGGTTATGGAATGCGAAAGCTACTGCGCGAGGTTAGTCTTGAGATGGCAGAGCAAAAATATCAGCCCAAGTACCTCTGGGTGCTCTATTCCACTATATGCGCGTTGACTGTGCGCGTTGAAGTGGCTGTGGGTACGGTATGTCGCGGTAGATGCGATGGGTGCAGCTTTGAAGTTCGCAGAGCTACATTTTTTCAAAAGTAGCGCCAAAACTGCGCAGCCAATCACGTGCGGAAGGCGCAAGCGGCCCGCTATAATGCCGTGGGCGCGACTTTGGCTTTTTTCGGTTGGGTCCGCCACTTAGTCATCAAGGCCACTTTCGCTCGAGAAGTCGTCGAAATTACCTACCACGTCGGCAGTCCACTACTAACAACAGCACAACTCGACAAAATGGTACGTTGCCCGTCGCGATATACTGTCGGATCTTGCACGCACGAACATGGAATTAATTCTTGCAGGTTCGCTACGGTGCCTCCACTATTGACGGCGCAAAGTCTGCTCGCGCCCGCGGCAGCTACCTCCGCGTATCCTTCAAGAACACCCGCGAGACCGCCCAGGCTGTCAACGGCTGGAAGCTCGACCGCGCCCTTACCTACCTCGGAAATGTCCTGGAGCACAAGGAGGCTATTCCCATGAGGCGGTACGCCGGCAGCACTGGACGCACTGCTCAGGGTGAGTAGCCCTTCCCACGATTCGCATAATGCGCAGATGGAACTTAGTACGGGAGGAGGAGCTATCGGGTGTTGGAGATGGAATTGTGTTGGCAATTGCAGGAACACGGGCTGACTTTCGCAGGCAAGGCTTTCGGTGTCTCCAAGGCCCGCTGGCCCGTCAAGTCCGCTGAGATCCTCATCGGTCTCCTCAAGAACGCCGAGGCCAACGCCGACACCAAGGGTCTTGACACCAGCAACCTGATCATCAAGCACATCCAGGTCAACCAGGCCCCCAAGCAGCGAAGGCGCACTTACCGTGCTCACGGACGTGTATGTAAACACCGGCCCACAGGCGCACTCCTCTCTAACAAGACTAGATCAACCCGTACATGAGCAACCCCTCGCACATCGAGCTCATCCTCACCGAGGCCGCCGAAGTTGTCCAGAAGTCCCCCCAGACCCTCGAGCGCCGCATGAACTCCAGGCAGCGTGGCCGTGCCGTCCGCAAGGCCATCACTGCTTCTGAGGAGTAGAGGAAGCAAAGGAGGTTGATGTTCCGGCGAAGAAAACGGTCAAGGCATGGGCACGGTTTGGGAGTCAATGAGCGATGAATATTCAGGGTCTTTCCACACTCGTCATGTATTCATGATATGGCACTTCGATTTCTGCGGTGTCTGGTCCGTAAAAATAAATAGGGCCAAGGCCTGTTCCCAAATGTTCAAAGTCGAGACTTCCAAGCCGCAAGTTCACGATGTTCGCCAGTATATTTGATTCCTCTACGATGACAGGATGTTGGATGATTCCAGCGGTACATCCCTCCCAAGGCCCGGCCGGAGTCATCGACACGCTGCTTCTTACAACAGGGTCAGTCTTTTACGCGTGCTCAAAACGAGCTCTGAAGGAACGCTCTGCTTGTTTACGTTCTCGTAAGTACGAACAAGAATTCTGGGAATATTACTAGAGTGAATTTGCAGTACGACGTACAGGAACATGGGCTGGTTTAGCCAACTATGAACGCATGTCCGAATTGACCTCCACATACATCGATAGACCCTGAGATTCCAGGATTTCCCGTCGTGTGCCTGGGGCTGACCGTAGGCAGCGCTAGTCGCAATGGGCATTAGCGTACTAGGGAACTTTGGCAGCTCGAACTCAGAATACCAGCTAAGCAAGGCCCAACGGCCAGCTAAGCATGCATGCCGCTAATATCTGAGATGAGGCTGGCTGCAAATCCCACATCATTCCTTTGAGTCAGTTGCGGTCAGATACGATCTCTTGCCTTGCTGCAATTGCTCCGAGCCAACTTTCCCACGATCGATGACGCAGGCCCAGCAAGCCCAGGCATGGGCATGTACCTTGCCACAAAATGTGTCGACAGATAAGTAGTCATGTATAGACTAGGATCTATCCGCTGTCAAACGTCTTTTTACACTGATCTCTTTCTTTACTGGTAACGGCAGTCCTTCTTACGTGCATCGCTGGATACCGGTCTTCACCTCACACCTACCACCATGGCTCGGCTACACCAATCCACTCGCCACAGGCGGCAAACCCCATACCTCGCCTCTCTCTACGCACTCTTCGCTACCGTCGCCTACGCGCAAGACTCAAAACGCGGTTTCGCATTCATCGGCGACTCACACGTACCGGACAATCGGCTACTTACTTCCGACAACTCACCACTCGCATGGTACTACAACTGGTCACCATACCCGAACAGCGACCTCATTCCCGCGGACAGCCTAGAGTTCGTGCCTATGATCCACGGCATAGATGCCACGGAAGACGATAATACCGAACGCGTGATTGCAGGCTTGCCCCAAAGCAGCAAGCACCTTCTCTCCTTCAACGAACCAGACGGTACCGAGGGAAGCGGCGGTAGCAGTATCAAGCCTGAAGATGCTGCGAAAGCGTATATCGACTTCGTTGTTCCATTCCGTAATGGCGACAAAGGTGGCAGGAACTGGTTGATCAGTCATCCTAGTACAACCGGTAGTCCCAACGGCCTTGACTGGTTACGGAAATTCAATGAGTCTTGTTACGACATCGACTCAGAGAACGGCTGCCCGGCGGATTTCGTTGCTGTACATTGGTACGGCGCTTTTGATGGTCTGGCAGGCTGGTTAGGTACCTTGGACGAGTTTTACAACACGAATTCGACAAGGGATCAGCCGTTGAAGCTTTGGATTACCGAGATGGCGCTCCCACAGCAAGATGAGGAGAACACCGTCGTTATGATGAACCGGACACTGCCATATCTCGATCAGCTGGATTACGTTGAGCGATACTCGTGGTTCGGTGCTTTCCGGACAGATGATGCCAACGAGTGGACGGGCGATGGCGTCGCGTTGTTTGATGATGATGGTGGCTTGACCCAGCTCGGTGCACTGTACCTGGGTAATGGATTTGAGGAGGGACAGAAGGGCGAGGGTGCTGAAGAGGATGCGGCGAGTGGATTGAGAGTCGGTGCCGGTCTGATGGTCGCGTTGTCGATGTGCGCGGCCGCGTTTACGATGCTCTAAACGATATATGTGATGTATTCCATTTTACTGTAGATACCTTAGCGAATCGTATATAGTAGCGATTATATGTAGTAATGATTCTTGACCTAAACGTGTTGGTGCCATGTTGGGCAGCTTCTAGCGCGGCTACCAAATATCCGGTCGCATCCGGCAAAGTTCACGAAGCCATCCCCTCCATCCAACTACATACCCTCACGACAACTCCATCACCTAGCGCACATGCCGCAATGACGAGGATACAACTGCAGGCCCGAGGACAGTCCCAGGGTAGTGAAAAGAATTCGCGAAAGAGTACTGAACTGCTGCAGACAGATTGCCGAAAGAAACGTATGTCGTGTCGCGATGTGCCTCTTCCTACGTTTCACGCCAAGCCATTGTAGATCTGTCGAAACGAGCCAAACACTTCATGTTGACCACTCAAACACCAAGTACTTTGATGCGAACCCACAAAACCAAGGGTCGTTGGTCCGGGAGTTATGATCCGATTCGCTCCTCTTGTTGCGACACTCGAGACACTACAGCCTGGAGAACCATCTGCTTATCTCCTCAAACAAAGTATTGACCAAGCTTTCTCAAACGCGAAATAAGCTTTTCTTGACTACGGCGCTTACAGAATACAACCGTGACTAACACGTTCAGTTGTCTATTTTTGTCTCGGTACATGCGGTTTCCTTTGTCGCCTGCATAGCCTCACCCTGTTTGAGCCTTGGCGGCTATCCGGTCCTGATGCAGGAGATCCATATCGGACACGAATATTGCCGAACACATGTGGCGCGACGTAAACTGCTTTAGTTGGCTGTCCACATCAAAGAAGTTCGTGGTGCAGCGCGAATGTCAGATGGGAATAGTGGGACAGGGTGGGAGGCTAAGTCAAGGAAGAGCTGCATCCGTTGACCTGAGCACCCGGAGACGATACGCGGGAACGCTTGATTTATAACAACAAACAGATGCCTTGGGCTCCAGAGTATCACATCGAATCTCCTGTTTCGTTTCTAGTATTCTGTCTGATATACGTCTTCCTCCCCTGCATCGATCACCCAACTTTCATTCATTCATTCATCCAACGACCACACAACATGCGCTTCTCAATAATACCGGCCGCAGGCCTCCTAATTACCTTAGCATCCGCAGCACCACTCACAAAGCGCGACCTCTCCCCATTCCCACTAGTGAACGGCTTCCCAAACCCCTCCCAAGAAGCCATCCTCCAAATCCAAAGGGACGGCCACGGCACCCTGCCCAACGGGCCTCCACCACCAACACTCAGCCCCGATGGCACCACGAATCTCAAGCTTATCGCACTCAACGAACTATTCGAAGTAGCCTTTTTCACCGAACTCATGTCCAACGTAACCAACAAACTCCCCGGCTACGACCTCGGCGACCGCCAAGGCTACATAATCGAATCCCTCAAAGCCATCGTAAACCAAGAGGAAATGCACGTCCTCAACGCCAACGACGCGTTGAAACACTTCAACAACGCCCCCATCGAAGGCTGCAAATACAATTTTCCCGTCGTCGACTACGAAGGCGCCATTGCCCTTGCAGCAACCTTTACAGACCTCGTCCTCGGCACTTTACAAGAAGTATCCGAACTCTTCGCCCGCTCCCAAGACTTCGGCCTCGTACACGCAGTAGCATCCGTAATAGGAAACGAAGGCTCCCAAGAAGGTTTCTTCCGCGCCGAGCAAAAGAAGCGGCCAAGCGCCCAACCTTTCCTCACATCCTCATCCCGCGATTTCGCATTCACCGCTATCCAAGACTTTGTCGTGGAGGGTAGTTGTCCGAACATCAACACCATCCCGCTCAAGCGCTTCAAGCCTCTGGCGGTCGAAACAAAAGATGTCAAAGCTGAGACGCAAAACATCAAGTTTTCGTTCTCGATGAGGGACGCGGGGATGTTTGAGATTGATATGCTCAAGTTGGTTTGGATTAGTGGGCAGAATGTGCCTGTTGTTAAGGGGCTGCAGAATGTGGAGATGAAAGATGATAGGGTTATGTTTGAGGCGGAGTTTCCTTTTGAGGAGTTTGTTATGGAGGGGTTGACGATTGCGGCGGTGACGATGGGTAAGGATTCTTTTGAGGGGGCAGGTGAGGTTGCGGAGAAGACGGTGTTTGGGCCGGGGATTATTGAGCTGGATTGAGGGGTGAGTAAGGTGTTTGTTGTGCATAGCGATGGTCTTGGTCTGGCGATGAGGGCATGGTTTCTTGTATGTAGATAATTGTAATGTCTTGTGTAGCTTGTCTATAGCCCTTTATCACTCCTCCTTCTTGCATTTCAATTGAACTTTCGACCGCCCAGATCGCCCAAACTTCCTTTCACAACTCACTCATAGGCTTCGCCAGCAAAGTCCTAAAATCAACCGTTTCCCTAAAACTCTTCAAAAACTCTCTCATCGTGCTCGGCAGCTTTGGTTTATGCCAAGTCCGCATGATGCTCATTATATATTCCTCATCAGGCTCCCGATTTCTATTCAGATAGAACAGCGCATTGCCTAAGGGCATCCAGATAGCCATGATACCCGTTACGCCGAACTGCTCTTGAAGGAAGTAGTCGACTGACTTCATGATCATGCGGGCAAACGGTCGGGGGTGTGGGCGATCAGGGTGCGAAATCGAGGTATCGGTATAAAGATCGATGCCGCTTGCGACATCGAGGGTGGAGTATAGGAAGAGGGCTGTCAACCAGTAGCGTACAGTGACACAGGCAACGTCTATGCTGGGAAAGGTGATTGGCGTTGCGTTGCTAACAATCTCGGGTGTGTAGATGGCGTTAGCTTCTGCATGGACCCAAGCTTCGAGCTCGAAATGCAGTGTCCAGCATTTTGCTATGGTGTATACTTGTAGCCCTTCTCTTTCTTGTTCGCTCATGCATCCGAATTGTAGCTTGTCTATAGCGTCCAAAAGCTCGGGTATACCGCAGAGGATATCGATGAGAACGTCGTCGGACGACTTGGTCCGCCCTTTCCAAGGTATGGTCTTCCACTCTTCCTCATTGAGTATGGTTGGCTTCCTGCCGCGGATGGCAGGTCCAAGTAGCCGGTATCTTGCATTAGTGAAGAGCCTATGCGCCGCGTCGTTTTCCGCAAATATCTCCGGGCCACGGCTGACTATCATAGCTAGCTCACCCTCACAGTGACTGAGCCAGCTCTTTGCCTGGTTGGTCGTATTCGGTTCCGCGCCGAACAGCATATCGAAGAGAGCCATGACTCGCGGTACAACAAGTAGTGATTCGCTACTCGCTCGAACGGGGTTCTGTAAAGCCACGGCTGTTTCCTTCAGCGCTTTCCCGTACAGTGTTCTTCCTTGCCGCGTGAGAGCTTCGTTATCCGAAGTTACCCCCAGCTGTGTTATGCCAACTGCCAGAGCAGCCATCTGTAATGCTTCATCGCGCGTGCTAAGCAGGGGTAGCAAGCTAACAAACTCCTTTGCGTCTGTGTTGGTGGTGTGGATTACGCCCTGGGGGTTGTACATATTCAGGAAAGTCGCAATAGTCTTCTCGCTGTAAGCGGACCTCGCGAGCGCATCCGGTAGCATGATTGGTATCGACATGGAACATGGTTTCTGTGTCCCTGGAGTTGATACAGGGTTGAATTGCATTATCTGCATGCCTTGCCGAGGTGGCTGTTCGGGAGACTTCTCAGGCGTCGCATGGCGTCCTAAATTTGGTGCAGGACGGGTAGGTCCGCTTCCTTTTTGGTAGATGAAGATGCGATCCGAGTCGTAGCCTCCGCATGCTATTCCGCGTTCTTTGCATTGACCGCACTCAGGCTGGACTAGATCGCACTAAAACACATCAGCTTCACATCTTGGGTGTTGCTCGTGGGCGTTCGCACTTACGCCCTTCTTTCTTTTTCGGCACGTCACGCAGCCTTTGGAGCGTCCTGGAACTCCCACCATCTCGTAAAGTTAGAGTAGGCGCATGCACGAAGGATTTCGTCCGCGAGCGCTGTCATTCAGCGCAGAATACTCCCTATATGGACACGCATCGTCTGCCTGCTAGCGTAACGGTAAAGAAGCGCAGTCTCGTAGGGCTGTGAAGCGCCTGTAGCAGCTTCAGATCTAGCTATTGATTGGTGCGCATTTGTCTATGACGACGGTCGAAATGCTTGGGAGGTGGCTTGTATGAATTCCACGTTGTTAAGCATCAGGCGTTCCACTATGTCATCTCAATCAACCAATGATGGTTCCTTGCGCCTTACTCCTTTGGGCTGATTCTGCGACAACTCGCGCTGCTGCAGAGGGGCCCCAGCTTTCACCGCAGAAAGCTCGGGGTAGATCGAAGTAGCCATGCGATATCTTGATTACCATTGCGATCGCATCGAAGCCTTGATAATCGGTCAAGAGGACTCTCCTGTCGCATGGGGACCCTTTGCGGGGTTAATGCGCGCTGTGTACCTTCCGCTAACAAAACGTCGTCTCCTGCATACCAGCGCGAAATGTTCTCAATCCGGCATGATGATCGTCTTCAAAATGTGTGGTCAACTGGTATAACATGAAGCCAGCTCTCTCTCGAAGATGGCATACAACCAGCAACCATCATCACCTCGACGACTTTCAATCAGCTTCTACCTCAAAGCACTAGAAATCAATCGTCTCCATCAACTACACTACAACTACCTACCAAGCCACACTCCTCTCCAAGGCTTCGGCATCAATCATCAAAATGGTCGCCTCAGCACCCTCCCCCAACTTCTTCACCAAACGCATAGTCCACCCCCTCGGTTTCACAAAAACCTACAACTTCTGGCTCTACTTCATCTTCGGCGGCGCACTCGTCGGCTTCGCCCTAGCCCGCCTCGCCTACCTCGACTTCTCGCGCAACTTCTGCCCCTCGTCAGGCCCCAGCTCCAGCGGCAACGGCGCCGCACCAGGAGAATGTTACTACTACCTCAACTTCAGCCAGTACAAAATCGGGATCTTGTTGCATCTCGCTGGCGTGCTACCCGCTAGTCTGCTCGCTGTGCTGCAATTCACGCCGTTTATTCGAAAGAGGTGGATTATCGTTCATCGCATCGGCGGGTACGCTGCACTCCTGCTGTACATTGTTGGTCTCGTCGGCGCACTGATGATCGCACGACATGCATTCGGCGGCGGGCTCGATGTACAGGCTTGGGTTGGACTCGCTGGACTGGCATCGCTGGGCTGCTTCATCGTCAGCTACATCAACGTCAAGAGACTGCAGATTGAGCAGCACAGGGCATGGATGCTGCGAGGCTGGTTCTACGCCGGCAGCATCATCACAACTCGACTCATCATGATCATCGCCGCGCAGGTCATCGCTAAGCAAAACTACTACGTCGTCTGGTCATGCGCAAAGCTCGCCGCAACAGTCGCGGGCAACGTGGATCTAGCGTCTTCGTACCCTGCCTGCGCGGCTTTTGTCAACGGCACGGATCCTGAGGCTGTCTCCAGCGTCGCGGCGACGTTTGCGGTTGGGGGTCCGGAGAACACGGGGGCCGCGCTGAATGCGGCATTTGGTATGGCGTTGTGGGTGTCGTTTGCGCTGCACGCTTTTGGTGTAGAGGTCTACTTGCAGCTTACCCCCAAGGAAGCGCAGAGGTTGAGGCAGATCAGTTATCAGAGGCAGTTGGAGGCTGGTATGCGCAACCCGGGCTCTGCGGGTCTTACGGCGGATCGTTTGGGGGATGCGGAGAAGTGGGTTCCAGTTGAGACCAAGGAAGACGGTGCGAGCATGGCGAGGACTGAGTCGACTGATTCTAGTGCTGATTTCCGGGTGTTCTAGAATAGCGTATAGCGTTTTTCTTTTCGATTAGAGTGAAGTTTTGGGGGCGAGGCGTTGGAAAAGTCATTCATGTAGAACATTAGTTTATAATTTAGAGTATCATCCAAAACTTCGTCCCTAGCTTCTGTGACGATATCGATAATTCATCAGTCATCATGTCTAGCGATCCAAAATCTTCATTCGCCCAGACCTCTCACCAAGGCAGCTGAAGAGGAGTAGACAGCTTGCTCTTCGGGCCCAACACGGGTTCAGCAGTACCAATATCACTAAGTATCTCGTTAGCTCACTTCCGTATTATAGATCAACAATAACTTACCCAGGTCCCCTCGGCGCCCAATACTGTCCAGTATGACTAATATCAAACGTCTCAATCCACTCCACCAGGCTCTCCGCAGCAACATCAGGTTCAACCGCCCCTCCTTCATCCCAGAACTTATCAAAGCCCACATTACGGGTCATATCCGTCCGCATGAAGCCCGGATGAACAGAGACAATCGCAATACCCCGATCCCTCAGATCTATACTCAACAACTTCATGCACATGTTGAGCGCCGCTTTGCTGGCATGGTGACCGTAGTTGCCGCCGCCTTCGGATTCGTGTCGCAGCGTTATACTGCCGCTTTCGGATGAGACGAAGACGATCTTGGAGGCGGAGGAGAGGAGCGTGCTGTTGTAGTTGGCGAGGGCGGTGACGAGGATGGTGGGGCCGATGGCGCAGATGGTGTACATGCGCTGTTGTGCGGAGAACGAGGGCTCCTTAAGCGATTCTGTCTTAAAGTATCCGGCAGTTATGATGACGATGTCTAGGTGTGGTATGTGGTTTGATTCAAGAAAGTGGACGAGATCGCTGCCGACGTGTGGGGATTCGAGATCGACGTTGGGGATGTATGTTATGTTGCTTGCTATAATGAGTTAGTCTAATATAGCATTTAAGAGGAGTACAAATTCGCCCACTGTTCTCTGGAGGTACTGATGCCCTCGCGGTTGCCAGAACATGGTTGTTCGCGTCTGCTGCATACTTCTGTACGATGCTCGCACCAAGGCCACGCGTAGCGCCTACAACGAGTATGGTAGGCATCTTGGCGGTAGGAATAAAAGAACGAATGCTGTGAGATTGTCAATAGGAGTTCAAGAGGTGAAATGCAAGGCTCTGGCTGAAGGATCCCGATGACGTAGTATGGTGGTGACATTGCGCTAAGATAAGGACGCGTTCCAGGGTCGCGTCTGGAAGCACGCTCACCTTGTGGTAGATGTCGCTTCAAACTCCAGCTAGCTTCTCACGATTGCATAGTGGTATGCCTTAGGCGTGATGCGAGCTGCGTGAGGGTCGTTTGACTGATCAACATCGAGATCATCTGCGCTTTGGAGTCAACCTTCCACATGTGCGACATCGGCGACCACTGCATGGATTGTACAACGGGGTAGTCAGGGGATTGCTCGTATATGCAGTGCTTGTAAAGGATGGTATGTGAGAACACCAGGTAATCACAGGTAACCGAAGTTTACATTGCATCCGAACTAACCCTCATGCGAGGCTAGCACAACACGACCCAAAACTGACCATCCGACTGCCAACATACAAAGTGGATGTGGAACATCAGCCCATCGATCGACACTGACCACGTAAGTACTCCATATCAATGAGCAATACCAAAAGTCATCACCACCCAATGCATGTACATGTCTTTATGCAAGCAGCTTTTCTTCGATATGAATTAAGGAATGAATAAGAAATAGGAAAATGGATATTGGTAGACTTATCCAGACGCCATGATGAGGATGTGGGAATCGAAATGTGGATCTCATGTCCGGAGCGGGACTCGCTGAACGCCATACCAAAACGCAAAGACACAACAGGATAAATGAACTCGCGTGACACAATAAGAGTTTGCGTTGGACAGGGGAGTATGATCATCACTGCATGCGTTTTCGCTTACGCACGTCATCTGCTTCATCCTCCTCACTGCGCTCCGCAGTTTCCGCGGGATTGAGGAGCGAGTGGACATTGGACGCCATACTAGAACGTCGAGTAGGTGGTCCAGTGTCGAGGCCTTTGAAAGGGTATCTAGCTCCTGGTAGTGTCCAGCCAGCATCTGGGTTTAATGTCGACGGCATGTTTTCATTTGGCGGTGGAGAACCGTGTCTTGACGGTGCTTGCCGTGGACCGCGGGGTAATTGATATGATTCCAATGCATCACGGAGCTGCTGGTCACCACCTCCGATAGGTGGATGGCGCGGTGACGAGGGCCATTGTGTGGAGTTGTAACCAGAAGCATATGGCGAATTGACAGCAGGGTTGGGTGGCTGCGGTTGCCAACCATGTAAGCGGATATCTGCCGAGGTGTGCCGCCTATATAGATTATACGGAGGGGACAAAGCGCTTGGCACGTTGCTCCCCAGATTTGCATTTCCCGGCTGCTGGACTTGTGGTGGAGGAGGTGGGGGTGGCTGATGGGAAACTGGGGTTCTGGCTGAAGATGGAGAGTAATTACCCGTGCCTATTGAACCGTAACGTCGCGGAGAAATTGCAAGATGCGCCGGGATCGGAGCCTTGTATGGAGCTTGCCGTGAAACGTTCGCCAAGGAACCTCTCCGCGAGTCTGTTAGATTGTCCTGTGGCATTTGCCGGGGTGAAAGGGGTGGACCGTTGCTGTTGTCTACCTGCATAAAGTAGGATTGGCGTGCGGAGAGAGGTGCATCTTCTGGTGGCTCCAATGCTCGGAGCATGTCTGTTTGTCGAGCAATTTCACGCTGCATCATAGCGACTGGAAAAGTCAGTGTATGTCGCGAAGATAAGGTTTGAGCATTGATGCGTACCATCCCTATGGATAGGGTTTTCCGGGTCCGGCACCATTTGCATGATGAGGTTTGCAAGGTCCTGATTCCACTGTATAATCTATTAGCTGTTGTATGTTGGAGTTTAGACAATTGACTTACTTGGTGGCATTTCATCATGCCCTCGGCTAGCACCGAACTCCTTTGAGTGAGGTATGCGCAAGTGTCTTCTGATCGTTGCATGCGCGCATGCATGTCGTGGAGGTTATACTCGAGACTCTGGAGGCGTGACTCGATAGGGTCCGGCATGGGGTCGACTGCCTGCCCAGCTGGTGGGCCAGGGGGCATTTTGGGCGCGGGGAAAGACTCGCGATGGACGAGGGCATGTCTAGAAGCACGTCGCTTGATCTCGCGCAGACCGACCAGATCGCCTCTCTTGAAGTTTCCGTTGCCGTGCTTGAACTCCCATAGCGGAGTGTCTGGCGATCCAGTGTGGAAAACGTCGCTCACTGCGGCAGTACAGTCAGCATGTGATGCATGTCATGGCGGAAGGAACTCGGACACGTACCCTTGTGGAAGCCGTACATGTTCAGCTGGCGCACAAATGAGGAGATGTTGGTGTGCTTGAAGTAGGACCTGGGATTTGTTAGTTAGAAAGCCTGAAGCGGCCGTGGCTTCAGGTGTACGTACGAAAGGACTTTGGAGAACTCGCTAGAGGGGGACATGACGAAACTCTCGTTAGTGCTCGCCCAGGAGATGAGGTGCTGGATGCTCTGGTCTTCGAGCATGCTGTGTTGTGTTAGTGTCGCATTGCGTGCGTACTGTTGCGGCACACGTACTTGTATAGCTTGTGTATGAAGGCCGTTTGGACGACCTTCGGCTGTTGTGCAGCTGCGGCAGCGCCCACTGCAGGCGCCGTGTTGCCATTGGGAGGCGAGGTGTTTTCCGAATCGCCGTTTCCTTCTCTTTGCGACGGCAGCTGGAACGAGACCGATTGGGTGCGCTCGTTGGGCGGGCCCATGGTCGACGACGTGGGCGTGATATCCATGGCGTCCCGTGACGGCGCAAGCCTCGGGCTGGACGAGGGCAGGATGGGAATCGACCTGTGCAGGTTGGGATGGTGAGGGTCGCCTGAAAAGGGACTGCGGCGGGCCTCTGCGACAGATGCCATGTGGGCGATGTGGAGAGCAGGCGTGGTGTTGAGATGTCAGGCCTGCTGGGTGCGTGGAGACGGGCGCCCGGGGGTCGTGCAGGGGAAAGGGAATTGAGCAGCGAGCGATGGGCGCAAAGATTCAGAAGTGTCTCGAAAAATGCTTGAGGTCGGGTGGATGCAGGGTCCCGACTTGCGGTGGCAGCGAACGTGGGCGGGCGGAGAAGATGCGGAGGAGCATGCGATGTGTGTGGCCGACGTCGCCGCAGAAGCTTCGAATCGGCGGACGAGCGTCTTGGAAGCTTCCTAGGCTTGGGGATTTCTTCTAGCGCCTGCGCGAGCCGTAGAAATATGGTTCCAGAAAAAGTCGGCGTGGCAGACGGTGCCAGTGGTCCTTTGTCGGATCGGGAGCGGCCGTCGCTGAGGAATAGGAGCTCGCGCAGTCCGAGGGGCAGGTCCGAGCGCTGAAGACGACGACAATTCCAGATGCTCCGGGATACTGTGTTTGAGCGTGCGAGGCTTGGCGGAGGGAGGAGAGGACAGGTTCGTGGAAACTTGCAGACTGCGAGGCGCGGCGAGATATGCCGGCGTGTCGCAACACTGGCTACGGACGGAAAGGAGGTCCAGGCACGGGGCGTCGAGGGCGGAACGGTAGCGCTACCGCTGAGAATACTATGGGGGATCGCGATGTGGGAGCGTGCTGCGGGAGCATCTGAAGGCCTTTGCGCACCACCAACCGAGCCAAGTGTCATCCAACGCTGAGGGGGCACATGGTCGCGTTCATCTATCTATCTAACACTGCCCTCAACACTGTGTACAGCTCTAGGCACATCAGCGCCCGCTGACAGTCGCCGCACCAGTCTATGGCCCGCCGTCCGGGTTTGCTGCCATGGTAGGGCAATGGCATGCAGCTCACGGCAAAGACGTCCCTCCTTGTCGACGTTGCATGTGCCCGCCACCCCTGTCGTCGGCCAGCTGCAGGTCGAGACACTGAAACATTGCTCGACCATAATAACCCACCGCTAATATCACTATAACGCGAACTGTTTCTGCTGCGGGGTCAGCATATAATGCGCCTCATATGCCTATGCTCCTCCCACTCCCGAGTGCCCGTGATGCGGCTGCGGATGCGGAAGGCCAGTGGCACAGACTAGAATACCGAACCTTCGCCAGACTTGCCTCAAAGGCTGCCGGGGAGCTGAAGCCGACTGACTCCCTTGCCCATGGTCAAACATTGCTAGTACGACTCGCGAGCATCGACGCCATCCTCGGCTTTCACGCGTGGTGTAAGCCAGGGGAGGGTCCAGGGTCTGCAGGCAGCCTACACGCACAGACCTCCCTGGATAAACGTCAACCACCAACCTTCCTCCGAGTCAGCCTCGACCGACTTTCCCCAGGCCAACCCAGGTGCCGTCAACGCAGAACGTTAGCTTTACCCCGACGCTACCACCTGCCGTCACCGCACCAGTCTATCACCGACCGCTCGGGTGGCGAGTCGCATCCTATCGATAGCCCTGCCTTTGATCGGCAGAAAAAGCAGCATGACTACCGACTTCATCGACGCGTTTCGACGCATGCATGTACATGAAAGAGAACAGGCACTCAAGGCATTAACGTCAGAACTATCACCCTATGAGTGGAGGACACTCCATGCCACGACAAGCAGTCGCACCTTCCAATTCGACGTCATCGGCAATCTACCCGTTGAGCTAGTAGCCCAGGTGTTCTCGCATTTAGACGTTGCTGCTCCTTACCGCTTGCAAAGTGTCTCAAGACGATGGAATCACACTCTCCAGAGCTTACACGTTATCAAAGCAAGCCTCGACAGTTGGTACCAAGGTACTGTCAACTTCCAAGATGCCGACCATGCTCTATGTCAAAAGAAAGCCCGCAAGATAAATGCCTTTCGTACCGGCAAGCCGCGCAAAGTCTACAAGATAACACCAAAGGACAGTATAGATGATATCTATCTAGCAGGAAACAATCTTATCTGGCAAAGCCTGACCTTCACTCCGCAAAACCAATCGCGAAATGTCTGCGTACTCGATCTAGCTACATGGGATCTTCGCTTCCTGGGTGGCGAAGGCCGTGAACGAATTATCGACGTCTACGTATCTAATGAGATTGTGGCGCTAACAACCTGGGCGAACATCTGCTACGTTCACGAATTGCATGGCAAACGAGGTTGCAAGAAGTTCAGAGTACCAAACAACAACTATTTCGCCAGCGTTGCCTGTCGAGAGCGCACTGTCGCATGTTATCATATCGACTCCGGTTTTGCATCCGTGTATATCTGGGAATACGACTCCCAGCGTGGAAGATCCTTCGACATTAAATTCGAACCCGGTAACATGTTCTGGGGGACAGATGTCGTGTAAGTAATCTCTGGGGTTGCTGAGCGGTGCTCGTATCCTTTGAAGCCAAGGAATCCACCAACACTGGGATACTCTATGCATTCTTTGCACGTAAAGCTAATCAGAGTCTAGCGAGAACGAATCACTTGGCATTGCTCCTATCATACAGCCCGCGACCCAGACAATCATCTTATTTGCCAATGCCGCACGTAACAATGACGTTCCTTTCCACCAACAGTTCTTCGCGTTCGGTCGCTACACATACAGCGGGGAGTGTCTCAGCACACACCACGCAAACCTCCACGGGGTAACTTCTCTCTCGTATTTTTCCCGTGATCCAAACACCTTTGTCCCAGTCGACGACAAGCAGAACATACTGTCGATAGTCATGCGAGACACCAACGGCAAGTCATCCTTCCTAGTGCGATTCAACGAAGAAGAAATGGACATGAGTGTATGGGAGGGTTCCCGTCTTTACGAACACCCCGAATACTTAGATACCAACGGTGCCATGGCGTGGTGGAAGGACACATGCTATGCCGCATTCTGGGACGGGGACGTCGAAGGCGAAATGCGTGACACGATTGCGCTCATGGATGGGAAAATCGACAAACATGACATGAATGCGGTTGAGGGCGCCAGTAACGGCAGAACCTACAAGCCCATCGTGTCTGAATCAACAGACGACGAGTCACTCGACCTCGATATCAACGCCCCCGTCGTTATGAACGAGAACTATGTTATCAGAAACGCGGGGAATATGTTCTACATACTCTGCTTCGACGACGACGATGAGGGGAAGAAACCGCAGGAGAGTGGATCGTTCTTTGATCAGGGAGAGCTTGAGGTGTTGAAAGCTGCGGATACGTGGTTCGATCGACCACATTACAAGGGGTGGCTACAGTCTCGGCCATATGCCCGTGTAAAGAAACTCTGGGGGCCGGAGCTGGAACGACGGAGGCAGGAGCTTTCATTATCTGCAGAAAGTGACTAGTCGTTTGCGATATAGTAGTGTATGTGTAGCAAACCTTGGAAATGCGATAGGGATTCTAGCAACCCTAGTAACGCTCAATACAGCATGACCTGAACAATATCTAAATTCTTCATTGCGCCCTAAACACCTGATCTACATCTCCTACCTCGTACACCCTAGCATCCATAATCTCTACCCAAAAATCGTAATCTCTACTCCCATCAACCCATCACTAGTCAGTCGAGCATGCCCGATAACGAATCTGAACTGTGAGATGATAACCCCATCAGATTGGCACGATCATTCATATCAAGTCATATGCTCATTCAATACATCTATCTTGCTATCCAATCCCGTTCAAACTCCAGTATATCCCATCCGTCCGTTAAATGCTATCGATCGAATGCCGTAAATTTCGCGCATACTTTTCTCTTTCATCGTTGTCGGCGTCGTCATCTCCCTTCGATCCCTCCTCAGATGCAGACACTAACAGGACCAGCTATTGCTTGCCCTCCTGCTCCCTCGATAGACGGTCGTGCTCATCGATATCACTAAATCACAGTCAGTAAACCATCCTCAACCAGAGCACATGTAACACGAAAGAGTAAGAAGGAAAGAAACATACGTAGCCTCCCAAGGATAACAAATCCAAACATCCCCCACCGTCCTCGCCGCACTATACCTCCCCTTGAGAATCTCCTGCGGCAACGCCCCCTTCTTCGCCTTATCCTTATTATGCAGCACAAAAATACTGAAATTCGTCTTTTCACCCTCCCTTCCCAGCTTCTTGACTGCGGCCTCCACATCCTTCTCCAACTCCCTGACTGCGTATTCCAAGGTGGTTCGGGTGTCGTCGACTTCGTCAACGATTAACACGTTCTTGCCGATTAGATTCGCCATCTCGAGAGAGGAGAGGTCGAGCCATTGTGTGCGCGTGACTTTTGTGCCGGGCGTCTCGACGTCTTTGTCTGTGGTTGTGGGGAGGGTTTCGTAGAGGGAGAGGCCGATGGCTTGGATGGGGATGTTGGGGCTGTTTTCGCGCTTGAGGAAGGATCTGGAGGTTTAGTTAGACTCTTGCGGTGGGAAGGACGAGGGTTATGGGCGTACCGCAGGATGCGCGCGGGGACGTAACCACCGCCGCCGATGGCGATCATGAGGTTGGGCTTGAAGTCATTGAGGATTTGGTCCGCGGCTTCTTGGCACAGCTTGTGCACCTGTGGGGAGGAGGGTTGTTAGCTGTGTTCTTTGTGCTTTGTTTGCTGCTTGGTGTTGCGCAAGGGTTCGAGGGTCGTGGTCGCATGGATAGCATACGAGTCGAGTCTCCAGCATCGCTTTCGACAACATCTGCATGGCGCGATACCAGCCTCGCGCCGTATATGTCGTGGTGACACAAAGACACCTCACGCGCGTGCGTGCGCGGGGTGTCTGATCGCATGTGTAACATTGGACCTCGAAAGAACGTACCTGGTTGTATGTGACGTAAACCTTCTCGACCATTTTCGCGGTAGTATTCAGAGTAATATCTCCAAGTGTAAAGAGTGTAATCAAAGTTAAAGGGAGGAGTGGAATTGTTTTTGCAAAAAAAGTCTGTCCGCCGCGGGAGAGTCAAGAAATGGTTACCTACTTAGGTAGGCAAGGCTAGAGCGGCGTACGCCGAAAATCTATGGTGGGGGATTAGTGCCCCGCAATCTGGGACTGGGCCAATCAGGTGGAACGTGGTTGTGATTCACATGCGCGCCTTGGTTCGTGGATCCTTCTGCTGCAGGTCTTCTTTCACAGCAAGCAGATACAGCAAAGTCGAAGTATTTCTAAGCAGGACGAACAGGGTATATTGATTGACTGATGAGGGTCATAACATCGTAATCATTACCCAACAAAAAGCACGTCCATCCGATGCGATGCTATGCTTGTGACAAGCGCTCCCATCTTCATCCCTTCTAGCTTTCTACAATCCTTCGCTCAAGTTTAAAAGCTTCCCGCCCGCAAAAAGGGTATATCGTGATTATTATACAAGAAAGTAAAGCAAAGTAACCCAGATAGACCACCTTCTCTTTTTTGGTAAAACGCCGGACGATGAGAGAGATAAAACGCTGCAAACGTATATGTAAGTGTGAAAAAGCACGGTCGAGGAACGTTGGACTCGTGCTGAACGTTCAGTTGGTTGAATGGTTGTTTGTTGATGGTGTGGACGGGAGAGAAGTCTGGCTTCTTCACTTGATGCCCATCTGGCGGAACTTGCGGGATGCGCGACGGCGCAGGCGGTTCATGCCCATGGCCTTCCTGAGGCTGTCCCGATCGTCGTCTTCATCTTCTTCTTGTGGTACGGTGAGCATTCGTCGACCATTTGTGGTTTTGACTGAAGTCTGGTGCGCCAGGATGTTCTGTTCACGCCAGAACATGCGCTTTTGGTCAATGACGTTCTGTGACAGGTTGCCGAACCCCTTCTTCACGAACGCCAGGTCGTGCAGGATATTGGGGTCGAGGCAACGCCTGGGCAGTGTCTGAACTGCCATGAAGATCTCGCCATCGCCAGGACGGTACTTTTTAATTTCTGGTTCACCCAGCTTGAAGATGGCAAGGGCGTAGCGGTAAAGGGCACGGGGTCCTTCATAGAGGAAGGCGTCCCAAACGCGAAGTACCGTTTCAATTGGCAGAACACCAACGAAGATGCTCATGAACCAGGAAGTGCAAGAAAGAGCGACTGTGGGCTGGCGTTGGAACTTGGAGTTGGGGTGGGCGTTGGAGCCGGCGCCGCTGTTGATGAGATCGGTGTCGTTGATTGATGCCCATACCTTTGGCAGGTAGTCCTTGATTAACATCATCAGCACATTGACCTCGGTGTTTGCCAAGCTGCGAGCGTGAGCACCGGGCAGATGGTTTTGCGTGATGATTGTGAGAAGGATGAAGACCTTCTCCTTGTCCTGCTTCAGGAACAGTAGAAGAAGGCCAGCAATGAAGTTGAGCGACTGGCAGTAACCAATGTTGGGGTTGTTCAGGGCGAAGCAAGATAGGACTTCGCGCAGGTCCTGGATCAACACTGGCTCGTCGTCAGACTCGCCGTCCAGTAGATCAGTCGCTGCTTCCGGGCGGAAATGGATGTTGTCGGGGAATGTCCTGTCAAGATCGCGCTCGATAGCATCTTTGTCGTCTTTGTTGAGCTCATCACGGTTGACGCGAGCTACCAGAGACTTGTACAGGCCGACATTTTCCTTTCGCGCAAGCACGTGCTGGCCACCAGAATAGTACCACCACATGGCACCTCTCCACTCAGGAGGGTAGCCCTTGCGAGCATAGCGCTTGACCTTCTCGCACATTTCAGGGAACCTAGTAGGCTCATTCGTTGACAGACCTTGCTTAGCCATCAATGAAATCCATTTGCCTCTCCGGCGGGAGATGTGGTCTTCGTATTTGGAAGCCCATGCGTTGTACTCCTGCACGTTGATCTTATCGGAAGCCTTCTTGAATCCATAGCGATCTCTCTCGGTAGGGGCAGCCGTCTTTCGCAGGCCAGGTATTACGGTAGGGATTTGGTTGGGAGGTGCCAATGTGGGGCCTCTCGGGGACTCGGGCTTGCTCTTGGCTGTCGTGAGCTGAGACATCATGCCAAGATCGAACAGTGCGCTCTTTCGATCGAAAACACTCGTGGAAGCGCGACGAGGTATAGCCTCGTCTTCGTCCAGCTCAGGGAGCGGCTCAGATCTTTGCATAGGCGGAGATTGAGGAACATGGGAACTGGCAAGAGATTCACTGGAAAAGGTGCGAGGGACGCTTGGTCTCTTGCTATGTCGCTTGGAGTAAGCTTCGATGTTGGCCCAATCCTGGCGCGACATTCGCGACCGACTTGGGGGCAGTTGTGGAAGATTCGAAATATCACGACGGATATGGTCGAGCTGTGAACGGCTACCCATGGATCTACTTGAGCGGTGGCCCTTTGCTTCCGTGGTCCTGAGAGCAAGAGCTTGCAGTGTGACAGACACACGCCTCGGTGCTTCTTCACTTGTTCGTTTCACTGTGCTCGATCGCTTCTTTCTGGACTGTTGTGTCGCGGCCTCGATTGTTCGTGGGGTGTATGCGGCCTGGAATGGGCTGACCTGTACCGAGGGCAGTAGCTCGATTCGCAGCGCCTTTCGCTCTGTCGGATCGAGGTTGTATACCTCGTCCACATCCGAGCCGGAAGGAGGACGAATTGTCAACAGCTCCTTGGAATCTGCGTTACGTCCGATTTTACTGTGCGTCGAATGGCGTGTCCGATCATCCCATTGCTTGAGGCTTTCGTTCGATTGGAAGGAGTCCAGGGAATCGAAATCGCGAGAGGGCGTTTGCGACAGCTCTGGAAGTTCCGCGTCAAGACCTGCTGGCGAGGGGCTGTGCATGTCTCGTTCGTCCTGCTCCATGATAGGACTACGCTCCTCATCTTCCTCATCGTAGTAGTATGAATCTAACACATCGCCAACGGCGTCTAGATTCTCATCTTCCTCGGCGATTTCTGAAGTCAGTATTGTTTCCGGGGAGTCGTCGCGTTCCCGAAGGCGTTCTAATCGGTCTCTCGATGGATCCCTGGAATAGACGCTGTTGTGTCGATCACTGGCGATGGAGCTCCGTGCGGTGACGATACTGCTTCTTTCCGTGCCACTAGTTTCGAGTACACTGGAAGACGCATTGGTCCAACCGGATCTGAAACTGGCCCGTGGCTCCTCACCACGAAATGGTCGAGGTGGGGGAGGGTAATAGTCAGTGTGGGACCAGTTTGGAACACCTCTGTTCGGCTTGTAGGTGCCGGACAGATTTGAGCGTTCGTTGCCTCGGTATTGGGCGTAGTCGGGGATCGAGGTCACGGATCTCAAAGGCGGTGTTGGATGGAAATTTTGCGAAGAGCTGGTCATTCCACGGGGCCTGAGAGGGGAGCTGGGTGAACCAGACAGGTCTTCGTTGGAAGAGTCCCATGACGGCCCGGTTGAGTTGACAGGATTACTGGCGAGTGGGTTGAAAATGGCGCGGAGATCAGGCGAGCGAGGGCCGCT